TCCAAGACATCCCCAAATTGAACTTTGGTGTTCTTGTTTTGGGGAGAGGACAAATGATTCAAGCTTTAATTCTTTTTCTTTAGGACCTCCTTAAAATGCCTTTTGTCCCTAATAAGTTTCCATAGGTATTAGTATCTTCTGTGTTCTTACGGTATTTTATCTTTTATTTTTTTAGTGGTTTATGATTCTACTTGTGTACATTACCTAAAAACACATATGTAAATAAAAGTAAAGCATTAAAACAGATAGTATTACTCTTAAAAAAATTATATACATTTTTTTTCTCATTTTGAGACAGTCTTATTGTGTTACCTCTTCATAGGTCACTGTAACCTCTAGCTCCTGTCCTGCTGGCTCTACTTCCTAGGTAGCTGGGACTGTAATAGGTGCCACCCCTGTGCTAATTTTTTCTATTTTTAGTAAAGATGGGGTCTCCCTCTTGCTCAGGCTGATCTCAAACTCTTCACCTCAAGTGATCTTCCCAACTCGGCCTCCTAGAGTGCTAGGATTATAGGCATGAGACACAGTGCACCCAGCCTTATATACGTTCTTAAACCAGTCTAACTCAAGAAGCTTTGCTCTACTTTGTAGAATTGGGTGATATGGAGGAATGTCACTTAGATACACAGAAGTTTTGGGTGACCACCATAGTAGGTGATAGTCATACCATCAGAGATAGTTTGACACAGGTTCCTTTGTAAAATTATGCCAATTGTTGCTCTTCCTATGCTTTTGGTGGCCAAAGAAAATTAACTGACACACAAGGAATGTGCTGTGATTCATGTGGTTTTAATTCTTTAGGTGCAGCTATCTTCTTTGAATTCAAACACTACAAGCCTAAAAAAAGGTTTACCAGCACCAAGTGTTTTGCTTTCATGGAGATGGATGAAATTAAACCTGGGCCAATTGTAATCGAACTGTAAGTGATGTTTATATTCAGCTAGTTCTCATTTAATGGTGTAGTGTATCTCTCTTCTTATTCCCCCATATCAGTATGTAACTTTGGAATACATTAATTATCAAAGTATTTTAAACAATGGTCTTTCTATTGTTATAGATACAAGAAACCTACTGACTTTAAAAGAAAGAAATTGCAATTATTGACCAAGAAACCACTTTACCTTCATCTACATCAAACTTTGCACAAGGAATGAACCTGACATGATTAACCTGGAACTTCTGTGAATTTTACCACTCAGCAGAAACCATCATAACTGTGTAGCATATTCCCCCTTCAACAGGCAGGAAGTGAGCTGTACCCACGCGCGTAGGCCAGAGTTGAGTCCGTTGCAAAGATGTCCAGCGGGATTCAAAGTCCAGCACATCTGTGAAGTGTAAGACTTCTTTGGATACAGGCTTATTGCAGACTTTGAAACATGTTTTTACTTTTCTATTAATTGTGCAATTAATAGCTTATTTTCTAATTCACCACTACTCCTACCTTGCTTCCTGAAACAATACTGTTGTGGGTAGGATGTGCTGATCTTCAAACTTAATACAGCAATAAGAATGTGCGAGAGTTTACACATCTGTGCACTTTTGCTCCAATATGCTCTTTTGGTTTGAGTTATCGTCAAACTTTGGGTTGATGTGAGTAGAATAGTATCAAACTTCTTTGAGAGGAATTGAACCAATTACACTGCCTAAGGTCTGTCTGGAAATGTGTAGGCTGCTTCTCTGAAGTGGCCTAAATTCACCCTGATCTGCTAGTTTTCCTGCTTAGAAATAGTGTGCCTTGGCCAGATCAGTATCCCATATGGGAGTGCTCCCCAGGTTGTAGCTGTGATTTTTTCCAGATGGCCAGATTGGTTTTCCGAAAGTGAGCATATTTTTAGTCATGTTGATTAGCTGTACTTCTACATCACATTGTTATTCTTTCTATACTGATGCCAGGGTTAACGTTGGAACCATCTCAAGATAATTACAGATTTTTAGATGGATTTACAATGTGTTCTAAATCATGTAATCCAGAAATAATTGAGTCAGATGCTAACAAGATACTGCAGGCATTAACAGCTGTTTTTCTGACAACTGATTGTGAAACTTTAAAACCTGCATACCTCTTCTTATAGTGATGAGTATGCAAAATCTGGAAAGATACTCTATTTTTTTTTTATATAGGTAGATAGGATTGCCATTTATTTCCTATTTAGATATATTGACATTCATCCACATGAAAATATGCAGGTCATTCACTTACTGTAATTTGACTATTTACCTTACTTTTGACTTAATGGGGCATAAATAATAAAACTTTCATAGTACACATGAAGTGGATATTTGATACACAGAACATTAAAGCTTGTGGTGGGCTTTCTGTGGGCTGCACATAGAACCCACGTGTTTTATCACTGTTTTAAATGAGCAATGCATGAGGAGAATGCTGTGTCAGTATCTGGGCTATTTTTAAACTAGTGTAATAATCCTCCTACCACTCAATGTTTGCTTTTTAAAATAAGTAACCACAATTAGGTTGTTATTAGCCCTTGCATTTCAGGAAATCTAGTCTTTACTTTCAGTTGTTTATTAAGTCAGTTCTGTGTCCTAGATGGATGTTAAATCTGAGTCTGAAAGAATTCTCAGCCAAATTTAGTCATGTCTTTCATCTTGATTGGATTAATTCCAAATTCTAAAATGATTCGGTCCACAAATAATTCTAGGGGATGAAGAATTTGCCTTAATATATTACTTTTTCACTCAACTCTTAAGACTATAGGTCATCAAACCCCCAGACTGTAAGCTCCTCAAGGGGCAGCTCCACATTTTCTACATGTCCTGTGCATTTTCTAAGGTGCCTGGCAGCCCTTTGTACCCTGTGGAGTACTCAGTACCTTTTGTTTGATGTTGCTGATGAGTCCTAAAAAATAATCCCTTAAAAAAAACTATTAAAATGTAGCAAAACTGATATATTGTTCTTTTTCTTTCCTCATAGACCATAAAACATGTATGTCAAAGTGATAATTTACATGAAGAAGCATCTGCTATCCTTCACATAAGTGTGGTTATATGAACTACAAATGCCTTTCATCAGTCTTAAAGAAGTTTAAATTGAACACCGTGTGATTAGTTTAAATTCTGACCTGAATGAAATGAGAAAAAATGATTGTCTTGAAGCAGCTGACACAGAATACTCCAGTCTCACAAATTATTTACATTTACTTTGTAATGAAAAAATCAGCCACTGACAGTAACTACAGATATAGTAAAAAAGTGCTTTCAGGCTGAAATACTGCTGCTTCCTAAATGAGACAATTTTAGCAATTAAACCCAGAAACACATTTAGCTGAAGATGACTCCAGAAATAGGTAACTTTTGAGATGGAAAAGTCTGTTTTAATGGAGATGATGCTGCCTACACCATCTATACATTGGCAGCTTGCCTTGGGCTCTGCTGCAGAAGTGGTACACCAGATGGATGTGAGAAGAGGCAATTCTGGACTGGTTCAGAACTGCTCAGATAAGCTACACTGCAATCTCTACATTTTAATGATTTCTCAGTGGTATGTGACACAGAATAAACACCCAAAAAAGCCTCAGAGAAAAAAATATAGTCTAATTCTGAATTTAAAAAAAATATATTACTTACTGCCTAGCTGGCACAATCTGTATTTTTTCTTTTTTTGGTAGAGAGGTCTTGCTATCTTGCCCAGGCTGGTCTCAAACTCCTGGCCTCAAGTGATCCTCCCACCTTCGCATCCCAAAGTGCTGGGATTATAGGCATGAGCCACCACACATGGACAAAATCTATATGTAAGTTATTTAAAATTAGAAATATTAACTTCACCATGGTTTTGCATCCAGAAGAGACTAAAAAATTATTCAAAAATTCTATTTGTGACTTACCCATTTTGCACTGTTGACTCATTTTAACAGATGGCCTGTGCTATTCCATGGAATTTTCCTCTTAATTTCTTCTGTGATATTAAATGGGACAACTTGCAGACTGAATTCTCTCTTCTTGAAGAAGTTATATATTCCTTATGAATTTTGAAAAAGTTGCCTTTTTTCAAAGGTCTTTATCTTTTTAAACTACAATCCTCAGTATAAAGAGACAAAAAAGAGGAAACGGTTTCATATTGAAGCTTCTGATCTTTTCTACAGTGTATTCTCAGTTCTTTATCACAGCAGTGACAGGTCATGCTCTGTGTCTCAATATTGCATCACAGAAATTCAGAGAATGGGAGAATATAGACTAGCAGTAAATCAAAGTGTGAGTCTTTTATGATTCTTAGTCTAAGTCTTGAACTCCTTAAAATGTGCTTTTAAAATTACTTTAATTAAAATGTCTCAAATATTCTTAGAAACATTAAAGACAGTATAAAAAAATACAGTGTAGTAGTAATGGGCATACGACTTTAAATATGGTGCAATTCCAGATTGTAGATTTACTGATTCTTAAATAAAGCACCAATGTTCAAATATTAATTTTCAAAATTAATATCTATCAACATCTATTAGTTATCAGAAAAAGAACTGAGTTCAGCACATAATTGCTGAACAAGGGCTGGGACAAGTTTCACAGCCTTAAATTGTTCTTTCTCCTGGGATTACACTCTTCTAATCTTTATGTCATATTCCTTGAAAGTCAGTGGCAAGGTATGAAAAAAACAAAAGACTGTACATTTTTTTAAAAGAAATTTCCTTTTGTGGAAGGAATGATCTTATGATATCATTTTCATTCTTGTACAATAAACCCTACCAGAAAAACAGTAAAAGCAACAGAACATATGGTCAAACAATTGCTAATCTTATAAATTCACACTCAGAAAACCATTCTCAAAGACAATGAAGGTCATAAGAACATGTGAATGCTATACAGGTGGGACCACTGACCTCTTTGAAATCACTTTCTGAGTTCAAAGGGGACAGAGATTGACACCTGTAGCAGTGAGCAACAGGAAGTGTGCAGCCAAGCCACCATCTTCAGTCCTGGGAGCCTGTGCATATGTTTCCTAAAGGATACAAGTCTCAACAATCCAATGAATCAACAGACACTTGAAAAATATTAATAAACAAATTTTTATGAACTATTACTACAAAGAACATCGAGAGGGAAGATAAAGTTTAGTGATCTTTCAGTAAACATGTTGAGCGTAACAGTCTCACCGACCAGATAAGTTTATTTAAAAAAAAAAAAAATCAAGCTTATACACAGCATTGCTCTGTATTCAACTGGTGTACACTAAAAATAGGATAATGGAAATACATGTTCTTAAAGCATTTCCACAGGAAATGTTTGTATTTTCATGACATTTTAAATCACTTAGCAATTACATATGCTACATTAGCTAAAACACAGGTATTCTTTATTGCACATTTCAAAGTTATAAAGACACACTAGCTTAAGAGGTGATTTTTATTTAAGGGGAAAATGATATTTTTTAATTGTTTGGCTCAAAAATGCATACTGCCAAAGCAGCTTAGTCCCAACAAACAAAACTTTTAAAATAAACTTTTGGATTTTGAAGCCAATGAAATCCTTTACTGTAATGAATAGTGACTACACAGTCCACTTTCTCTCCAACTAAATATCAGAGGTCATAGTTACGGGCTCTGTTTTAAAGCCTGTGAACAGTCCTGGTTACTGCTCTGAGAGGCAGATGGTGGCTCACTAGAGCCTGAAGGCGGTAAGTCTCTTGCAGCAGGTGATGGTGGGTAGTCCTGGGGCCCATGGGCTGGGGGTGGTAATCGGGTACTGGGAATAAAGTACTCCCTTGGGCCAAGAGAACCTAAAGGTCTAAATGGTGCGTGTCCTGGTAAAAATTCCCGAGGATCAAGAGGCAGGTCCCGTTTTCCAGGTGGAACACCTGGTGCATATTCTCTTAAGCCTAGTGGTGGACGCATTCCAGGACCTGAAAAACAAAAATTCAGTCATGTAAACAAACCTAGGAACACACCTAAATTAAGACAACTGGAAATACATTAATATATATACTTAAAAAAATTTCAGATTAATAAAAGGGTACAAATGATTAGGTTGCGATGTTTGCCTTCGTAGGTAAAGTCTGTTATAGCTGTGTCCCACCCCCAGGAGGTGCCATGCACCCTTACACTGTGCCCATTACGTGGAGTACACCGGTACTATATTCTTTAATCTCTCATAACCCTAGAAATTCAAGGACAGCCCAACTTTACAGTGAGGCAAACTGAGGTTCAGCAAGTTTAATTCACATGCCTATGGGCAGCCTGCCAAGAAGCAACACAGGCTCTTATTTCCAAACTTATGTTTTTCCTGCTACATAATTTTGTCATCTTTATCTCAAGAACTTGGTTTGGAGGTGAAATATTATATGCCCTATTAAAGAAATACTATGAAATTTTTACATTGCAACAAAGAAATTTTGATGAAGAAAGTTCTATTATTTGTTACTGTATCACTTAAAACTTCAGGCAGTAGCTCAGCATGGACCTACCATATGCCATCAAAGTGCCTGCTCTGCTTGACCGGGACTTCCAGCTCCATCTAATTAAATTCAGCAACATTCATTAGGTAGCTATTAAATTCCACATTCTCTTTAATAACTCCTATCTATTACCAAGGTGAGGTGTTGAGAGTATCATCCTTCCTTTTATATTCTGGGATCCACTGATTAGGCTTTCATTATGATTAGAAGCTTTATGCTGAAGAATGTAGGTATCTGTGACCTACAGGATGTCTGAAGTTAGGGATTTTCTCATATCTGTCTTTCTATCTATTGCAGAGCCTGGTACATAGCCGAAGATGTTCAATAAACATGTAGTATTTTGGGGTTCGTAGAAAATAGCCCCTTTTCTTGCCTATAAGAGACAGCTATTGCTCACTTCATTATAGGGAGATTATGCAGCACCTGTGTGTCCTAAGAAACTTGGGGACAAGTACTCAGTCCAGTTTCTCCCTGCATTCATTGTAAAGCCCTGCAATTACAACCTTTAGCAAGGAACAGAAAAGATGAATATGCTTTACAAGCCAATTACAATATTTGAGATCATCATACCAAATGGTGGAGGAAGTGGCCGAGGCCCAAAAGGCCCACAGAGCTGAGGAGGTGGTCCATATCGAATGGGTGGTGGTAGAGGGCCTCCTCCTATAGGGGGGCTCATGAGAGGCACCCCTGGGAAAGGAGGGGGCCCTTTTGTAGTCATATTAACCTGCAGAGCAGAAGCAATTAAAGTTTTGAAATACTTTCATAAGAAAAAAGCACCAACACCAGTAAAAGCTAAAACCCGATGAAGGAGATGCCTGGCACCTGCCCAAACAGCAGAGTCAGATCAAGTTCCCACTGACAGGTCACAGAGGTTAGATGTATACCACAGGAATGAACAGTTTTCACTGAATCATATTGCATATAAATGGAGAAAGCCAAGTACGGACTGTCAAAGGTTATTAACAGAGGTCATTCCAAACTAACATAAAAGTTATACCATACAAGCCATCATCTATTTTTTGTTTTTTGAGACAGAGTTTCACTGTGTCACTCTCAGTAGAGTGCTGTGGTGTCACAGCCACAGCTACCTCAAACTCTTGGGCTTAAGCAATTCTCTTTCCTCAGCTTCCCAAGTAGCTGGGACTACAGCTATTTTTTTGTTATAGCTGTCATTGCTGTTTAGCAGGCAGGGGCTGGGTTAGAACCCACCAGCCCCAGTGTTATGTGGCTGGCACCCTAGCTGCTGAGCTATAGGTGCCGAACCGCCATCATCTATTTTTAAGGCAGTCCCTCCCTCTGCACACCACTTCCAACACAACAGATCATTAATTCCATAGTAAGAATGCAGAGAATGAAAGGTATGAAAAATCTAGTCTCTGGCTCTGCATCTGTGGCTCAAGTGGCTAAGGCGCCAGCCACATATACCTAAGGTGGCAGGTTCAAATCCAGCCGGGCCCACCAAAACAACAATGATGGCTGCAACCAAAAAATAGCAGGGTATTGTGGCAGGTGCCTGTGGTCCCAGCTACTTGGGAGACTGAGGCAGGAGACTCGCTTGAGCCCAGGAGTTGGAGGTTGCTGTGAGCTGTAATGCCATGGTACTCTACCCAGGGGGACAGCTTAAGGCTCTGTCTCAAAAAAAAAAAAGAAAAATCCATTCTCTGCACATGTAATAATCCATATTCAGGATACCTTTAATAAGTCTTTCATATATAAGCGTGGACATAAAGTTCATGTGCAATTAAAAATAGTTTAACGTAGTTAAATCTCACACGAACTTCAGACACCTGTTTTTGCACATGCTTTATGTGTATATATATTTGTATACATATATATACACACACAGCTACATACATACACATGAATATATTTATATATTTACTTTTTGGCATCACAACTCTCAGCAACCTTATATTCTTGGGCTCAAGCAATCCTCTTGCCTCAGCCTCCCGAGTAGCTGAGATTATAGGCACTTGTCACGATGCTGCCTAATTTTTTCATGACTGGCTAGTTTTTCTATTTTCAGTAGGGACAGTGTCTCGCTGTCTAGCTCAGGCTGGTGCTAGAATTCCTAGGCTCAAGCAATCCACCCACCTTGGCCTCCCAGAGTGCTAGGATTATAGGTATGAGCCACCGTGCCTGGCCAGGCATTTCATATATATGATGGACATTACGTTCATGTGGAATTTAAAACAGTTTAACATAGTAAATTACACATGAACTTTATGTCCACCCACTTAATTATCTCAAATTCTCAGATCTCTAAACTTGTGACAGGATCATCTTACTCTAAATATGAAGAAACAGAGGCACAGGAATATTATTGAATTTGCTGAAGGTCACACAGCATATGAAAGGCTGAGTTGGGATTCAATACCAAGTTTGACTCCAACCCTACATTCTTTCCATCTCTGTTTCTCTAACAAAGAGGTCTCTACTCTCTTTGAAGTCTTTTACTTGAAAGACTTCTTAAGATCTTATCCAAGCTGTCCTTGGATAAAAAAATCTCTCAACAGCTATATATTCCTGGAGTCCTATACTGAAACTTGGAAGTATTTTCCAACAGAAACAATGTTATGTACACAAATTAGGCACAGCTCTAATATCTACCTTCTGTAATAGTCTGAGACACTAATAATTTCCTATTTAGGCACAGCTCTAATATTTACCTTCTGTAATAGTCTGAGACACTAATAATTTCCTATAAGAAACTGGGCTACAAATTCTAAATAATAAAACTTATCTTGACTTCAACATAGAGAAGCACTATGAGGTATGATCAGAGGACATAACCATTAATAATAACTACATAAGTTACTGGAAAATACCCTTTTACTGTGAACATAGTTTAAGGACATGATAGATTGTCACTGTTTTCACTATCTGGTATTTCACTTCTAACAAACATTCTTCTATTATTAATCTGTAATTTCAGATCATTCAAAGTAAGGTTTGCCTAGTACACAGTGGTAGTATTCTTAAATAGCATACTTCCAAATGAAGATTTAACAATGAATTGTATAATTTATAATGAATTTATATGCTTTAAGAGCTTTAAACACTAAAGCACTAAAGTAAGGATGACTTTTCACATTTTTTAGTTAACTATAATTATAGCAAATGCTCTAAATAAGTCAATCATCTTACCAAAAGAAGAAAGAGGAAGAAAAAGCCAACCAACCAACCAGTTAGATTTTAGCAACGTTTCCAAGTAAAGGACAAAAGTAAGATCTATCTCACCATGCAGTTTTTAAAGCAAAGAATATTAGTGTCACGCTCCTTATATCTTTGCCAGAAATACACCAAATAAAAGCCCAGCTCAGTCCTCAACTTCCAAGTACTTACTGCTACTGCTACTGGATGCTCAGCCAAAGATGTACTGCCGGGAACTGAAGGGCCTTCAGGCTCTTGGAGAACAGTTTGCTTTTTTAAAAAATAAATGAGACAGTATAGATGTGATGGGACACACACATAAACAGGAGATGAGGCAAAGAGAATGTTAAAAAAAAAAAAAAAAAGTGTGTAGGAAAAGCTAAGTGTCCCTGCAACACCTACTGTTACTCAGAATGACTGACGTTTACCTTGCTCTCATCCATCACCTTAGTAGGGGAAGAGTTTCTTGAGCTGCTATTCATCATGGCAGCTGTACCAGATCCTGGATCTGTTAAAGACCAGAGAACAGATTTAGACTTACTCGGATCTGTATACTCTGTGAGCAAGATAAAAAAACCCTCCACCCACTTCCTCCCTGCTTTTAGACTCTGAACATGCTTTAGTCCCTTACCAGAGGCAGACGGTTTCCCTGATGCCTCAGATGGCCATCGAGGACGAGGTAGAGGCCCTTCCACTGACCCTAGAGAAACAAGTAACAGAGTCCTTGAATGTATTTTTCAGAAGAAATTAACCAATTGTGGACAGCTCATAGTTCAATTCTACCTTGAAGGTAGCACTAAAAATGGGGCTTCCAACACTTAAGAGGGGAAATCACTTAAATTTTATTCACAGACTTAAAGAATCAAAGAACTGTCTTGGAATAAAGAACCACAATAAACTTTGTACACTAACAGCACTGGGTCTCTACTTCAAGCTACAGATCTGATGTCATTCTATAGGCTGATTCTTTTCAGTCCATATGTAATCTGACTTCCATATCGTACCAATTATTAGTGACATTATTACTGACATATTTACGATCTGAATAGACTTACAGCATTATAGAAATGAGAAATGGAAGTATATATGCCCCATTAACTGTAAAGTTTTAAGGCTACTTTTATAATACACCTGACCCTTGAACAATATGGGTATGCTGACCATGTTCCCAACCCCTACACAGTTGAAAATCCTCATGTAACTTTTGCCTCCCCCCCAAAACTTTACTAACAGCCTACTGCTGACCAGAAGGCTTACCAAAAACACAAATAGTCAATCAATAGATACTTTGTGTGTTATACATATTTTATGCTGTATTCTTACAATAAAGCTAAAGAAATGAAAATGTTACTAAAACTGTAAGGAAGAAAAAATATATTTACAGTACTGAACTGTACATATATCCAAGTTTACACATTTATAAAATGACCTGTCTGAAATGGTGGGCATCCACAGCTATAGACTTCCATCTACACACAGTGCTTATTAAGCAAGTCAACACTTTCTTATAACATCACAACTTTTCTCTGCTTCTTGGGACCATGTACGGTCTCTGTATGCATGAGTTTTGTTAAACTTTAACTTTTTATAATAAATGTATACATTTTATGATAGTAAATGATAAAATAGACCAACATGTACATATATTTTATGCATTCACAATATACCTTTTTCTTCATTTTTTGATATTTCTAGGCTTATGTGGTTTGTCCATTTTTTCAAATTCTCACAAATCTCCAAAAAATTTTATATTTTTTGAAAAAAATACACTTATACATGACCTGCACAGTTCAAACCTCTTATTGTTCAAAGGTCAACTGTATTTGGGAAAAGAACCCCAAAGAAATTTACAGATAAAGGTTTATACTTCACAGTAAAAAACTAAAAAGAAACCAAAAACAGGAAAGGAACTCCCCACACCCTCCCACCTACAAAATCTTTTCTGTTCTAAAACAGATCTTGCAGTAGACTATTTATCCAACAAGATAAATTAAGAAATCTTTTCTATATTGGACTCCAAAACTAAAGTGTTGCTTGCATGACAACTCTCAAACAGAAAACCCCCTTCTGAACCAGTGTACTGCAAGGTAACACAGCAATGCTCACCGAATTCACTTCTAGGTATATCTCTTCGATTGAGAGTAGCAGAGAGTGGTCGCACAGGTGGCTCCACTGTCAGTGGAGGGGAGCATTCTCCACCACTTACAGGGGATGGGCCAAAGGAGCCGTTCTGGCTCAGAGCACCTGAAGATGACAGTATTGTTACCACTGTATGACAACCAGTTTTGTCTTTAGTAAGTTCTTGGCATTATTTCTAGGACTTAAATCATACAGAGAAACAAAAAGTAATTTCCATACATTTTGCACCCCAGAAATAGATTTTACCCGTTGCCAAGTGTTCCCTTACCTCTCCGTGGAGGGTTCTGTGTATTTGGCCTTCCTGGCATTGGTTTTACAATCACAGGTTCTTCTTGCAGCATTGCTATTTTCTGCGTTAATTCCAATATTCTTAAATGTAGAGAAAGAAAGACTTAAATATGAAATAGAAATCAATCCCTTGCTAAATAACACATCGCACAGCCTTTGACAAAACCTCTAATATGCCCTGAGAACGTATGTATCAAAACCACATACTTGTGTCTCAAGTTGGCAGCTTCCCTTTTCTCTTCAGCTATAGCTCTTTCTGCAGCACGAGCTTTGAGCTATTGGAGAAAAAGAATCCAAATTCAGTTGTAGTACACTATGCATAAAAATAAAGGAAAGAAAAAGAAATCTTACCCAGTTATCATGAGCTTTCTTCTCATGAGTAGCAATCTGGAAAAAACAATATAGTAAAAAATATATTTAGGAATTCATTATAATAGTCTGTGTTAGTTCTCAAAGAATCCCTTAACTGTGGGGCACTAATTATTACCTGGTTTTTAAATGAGCGCTCTGTTTTCTGTAACTCATCTTCCATTTCTTCAATTCTCCGCCTAAGAATAATACTTGGTTGTATCACTTAAAGCACCATTGAATAAAATTTCAATCTGATGCTGTGACCTTTAAGAGACTTCATCCATACATGTGAAAACATTTTTACATGGCTATCACAGGAGAACAATATGATGAAAACTAATACTGTGTGATTTCTTTTTTGTATGTCAATAATATCTGTCATATAACTGGCTTGTGTGCATAGAAACCATGTAAATAAAAAAACATGAGATTACATAAGTGATTATAATACAAAAGAGACAAAACAACTAGAAAAATATGAACTGCTTCATGAATTTTCGTGCTATCTTTGCACAGGGGCCATGCTAATGTTCTCTGTATCATTCCAATTTTATTATATGTGCTGCCAAAGTGATAAATCATTTTATCATTTAACGGCTAGATATTCTGAGTTGATAAGTTAAAATTTCCTTAACGTGTTCTTTAGTATGTTCTCAAATAATCCTGCTATGAATACCTTCCTCTAAAAAGTCTTTTTCTTCCTTTAATTCTATTGTAGAAAACTTCTCACAGGAGGACTGAGTCTATCAAATAGCACAATCACTTTAACAGTTTTTGATACATCATGCAACAAGTGCTTTCCTAAAGAAGCACCACAATATACAAGCACCTGCATGAACTGTCTGCAAAGATCTTGCCAGCAGCATTGGATATGTTTTTGTTACCATTTTTTCATTTGTTAACTCAAAAATTTAGTTTTTCTCTTATGTGGACTGAATGTATTCATGTCCTCAACCATTTATTTATGGATTTGTGCTCTTTTACATAATGTAAAAAGTTTAAAAAAAAAAAAGAATGTCAACATTAGTGTTCATTAGCCACTAACACCCTCTTGAGAAGCTGAACTCACTTGTAAGTTTTTACTTCCTCTGCAGCCAACACCGCCTTTTCATCTGCAGCTGACAGCTTCTGTTCTCTTTCTTGCCGCTCATATTCTTCTTGACTCAATTTCCTAAGATAAAACCAGTTGTCAGCGAAAGTGATTCTTTTTCCTCACTCCCTTTATTCAAATGTCATTTCCCATCCTACCCTCAAAAATGCATAGACAAGGAAGGAATTCAAACTACTGTTTAGAAGTAAAAATTAAATTCTGGCTTATTGGCAAATCATTGGGTTTTCTAACTTCTCGTAATTCTCTACTCACTAATAAATTTTAAAAAGGTAAAAGAACCCTCCCCCCCATTAAAAACAAAAAAACCCCTGTGTTCCTCATGGCAAATCTCTTGAGATAAGGAAAGCTCACTTTACTTCAAGGTGCAAAGCCAGGACCTATCAATCTAACACAATTAAGCTTATTAGGATAAAGCAGGGGATAATTGCTTATTTCTAACCATGGAAAGACCAATTTATTTTTGTCATTGACAAACTGGTTCTTAATGTTAAGACTGGTACTATGATCAAGATAGCCAAAAAGGGCCTTTTAGAACATGTCTGCTAAGTATGCAATTAGCTACAGGACATTTTCCCTTCAAACATGAAGTTCCTACTACCTATTTCAACAGAAAAATGATTAAGGAAAGAGGCAAATCTGAATATCGGTAGTATCTATTGAACAAGACAAACTGTTCAACCATAATCAGACTATTACGTACTAGAAACTGGTTTCAACCTGATAACCTTTAAGCTCAAAATGTCTGTCTCCTATAACACAGATGGAAAGGCAGCAACTTTAATGATTTAAAAATACTAGTTACCCTTGTATTTTTTAACTCATAGTTAACTCTTACTCAAAAGATACTTAATTTGAAACTAATTTTACATAAATCAAAAACAAAATTAGAAGAACTACAGAATAAAGGTATTACTAATACCCAAGAGAAAAAGGTTTATGTATTCTTTTATGACTGCTCATTTAATACTTCAGCAAATACTTTATGAGTGGCTATAACATACTAATTATTTTTTAAAAGGGTAAGACAAAAGTATGGGTAAAATGCCATCCCTGTACTAAAGGAGTTCACTGTAAAACGGACTGCAGATGTCTATCAGAACAAAACAATCCCTAACTCCAGTTTAGGAAGGAATGTGAAAAAACTTAGTCTTGAAGAAAGATTAAAGAGAATTTTGCTTCCAATAATGGATGAGTTAGTCTGGGAATACTGAGAACACTAAGAATACGTGGACAGAAATATAAAGAATGTGCTTGAAGGCATCAGAGACTAAGAAAGCAATAAAAATATACATCTATGGCCAAAATCCAGTAGGAAAAGGAATCAAAGAATTATACGCAAGCTTGGCATTGTAGACAATGCAGATATAAGAATGCTAAACAGAGCTTTCAACAGATCTCCTGGTTCACAGTAACAAGAAGTAGAGCTCAGGGCTGCCAATGAAGAGGACCCTTAAGCAAAGCCCTCGGCTGAAGGTTTAAAGCAGGAAGAACTGCAAACTTCAAGTACTGAACAGGCAATGTCCTTTGAAAGGACTAAGCTGTTTTTGTATTACCTTAATTCAGGCATCCTCAAACTACAGCCCGCCGGCCACATGTGGCCTGCCTAGGACATTTATCTGGGCTGCCGGGTGTTTTTGCCACCGCTGCCTGTCCTGCTTAGCAGCCGACTCATCCTGGGGCCCGCAGTCTGGTCCTCCAACGGTCTGAGGGACAGTGAACTGGCTCCCTGTTTAAAAAGTTTGAGGACCCCTGCCTCAATTGCTAACTGGGTAAGTGAATTAAAGTCATGACCACCTGCTAGAAGTAACCTCAAATCTTTTCTGTAGGAAGATAACACTACCTAGGCTTCATATTTTCTCTACAATTATCATATCCAATGCTACTTGAAAGACATCCTTTAGTGACAGATTTGATGAGTTTATTTTTTATGAAATATCTTTATTTTGACTCCATGTTTAAAGAATCAACCAAAAAACTGATGGGGCACTCAATAAGACAAAACAATGTGATCAAAATCTAAAGGACAAGAAAAAAAGACCTGTAAGGGATCTACCTAATAAGATTATGAGAGAGAATTTAAATAATTGTGCCTGATCCCAGTGACACAACAGGTTGAGGCAGAAGGCTCACCTGAGGCCAGGAGTTTGAGACCAGCCTGTACAACACAGTAGGCTGGGCACAGTAGCTCACGCCTGTATTCCTAGCCCTCTGGGAGGCCAAGGCCGGTAGATCGTCTGACCTCAGGAGTTTGAGACCAGCCTGAGACCCCATCTCTACTGAAAAATAGAAAATACTAGCCAGGCATTGTGGTAGGCACCAGTAGTCCCAGCTACAAGGGAGGCTGAAGCAAGAAGATCCTTGGAGCCTAAGAGTTTGAGGTTGCTGTAAGGTATGATGCTATGGCATTCTACCCAGGGCAAAAGAGTGAGGCTACTGGGGAGGTTGAGGCAAGAGAATCTCTTAAGCCCAAGAGTTTGAGGTTGCTGTGAGCTGTGACGCCATGGCACTCTACTGAGGGTGACATAGTAAGACTCAGTCTTAAAAATAATAATATAATAATAATTGTGCCTTATATATTCAAGGAAGTAGAAATCAAGATTATGAATTTCAACAGAAAATTAGAAACTATAAAACTGAAAAATAGTAACTGAAACCAAGAACTCAAAAAAATGACTAGCTGCAGATTCACTAACTTAAGTGAGATTTTAGCACACTGAAGACAGACCAGAAGAAAACATCTGGAATGAAGCAAATTCAGAAGGAACGTAGGAGACATTGGGGGAAAGGGAGATAGGAGGCATGTGGAGTCTAACGGGTTTAATTGGAATCTCAGGAAAAAAGAATGATGTAGAATATGAAAAAAGGACCCCCCCCAATTTAAAAGATGTTTATGACTCTGAAGAGCTTAAATAGAGACAAACAGACAAAGGGAGAGAAAAGCAAAAACCCTACACTTAGGCACCTCCCAATAAAACTGCTGAAAAACCAAAATGAAAAATGATTAAAGGCAGGTAGCACAAGGGTAACATTGGAAAAAGAGAAAAAAGGAAGGATAATGGATTCTTCAAAGAAACTTTAAAACCAGAGATAATTAATTGGTTACCTTTAAACTGCCAAAATTCTACAGCCCACAGAAAGATCCTTTAACAATGGGATCAAAATAAAAGACATTTTAATACAAAAACAAAGTCCAAATTTGTCCCTAAGGTATGTTCTTCAGGTAGCATGAAAGTGATCCCAAATTGAAGACCAAAATGTGGGAAAATGGAGAATTACAGGAAATACGTATGTAATGGATGAGTATCAGCAGGATCACTGTGAAAGAAAATGGAAATGCCACGTGGAGTCTGAGCTATATAGAGCATTAAAATACATTACTATAACACCGTCTAAGACAGAAAGGAAATAAAGCCCAGAAAAAGGTAAACCTATTAATTTACATCACACTTTTTAGTAAGTCCAAGATACATGTTTAAGGTAATTATAAAAAGGTGAATAAAACAACCTATAACCACCAAGTGGAGAAATAGCAGAAAGAATTTAAACTATTAAAACAATTCAAAAAACAGAAAAAAGGAAGAAAAGCAGAAACACAGAACAGGTCATCAAACAGAGAGCAGATACCAAGAAGTAGATTTAGCCTGAATATATATTTAGGAGTTACATTATAAGAAAAAAAAGAGTTCTGGGTCTCTTTGGCTATCTACTGATTTATGCCCACTCCAAAAAGAAATTTTTTTTGCAGTTTTTGGCCAGGGCTGGTACCCAGTTGAGCCACAGGTACCACCCTCCAGAAAGAAATTTAAGAAGCATCAACATTTGAGTGTGCAGGAGATTGCTAGGTGGAAACAATGTAAAAGGACATTTTTTTCTGCAGAGAAATCAGCATCATAGATAAACACAAAGGGGCTTAGAGTGGCAGGAAGGAACTGCAGGTGTGGCTGTAGTATAGGAAGCATCAGAAGAAGCTGCAGGATATGGACCTGGAGAGGCAACTCAGGACCAGCGAGGAGAAGCAGCCTCTCCACCTGCTAAGGAGTCTGGAACAGATTTCGAAGGGAATGGAGCATCTTTGACAGATTTTAAGCATAAAATGCCATGGAAAGACTTGTATTTTAAAAAGTTCACCCTAGGGAGGCGCCTTTGGCTCAGTGAGTAGGGCACCAGCCCATATGCTGAGGGTGGCAGGTTCGAACCCAGCCCCAGCCAAACTGCAACAACAACAAAAATACAGCCAGGTGTTGTGGCAGGCGCCTGTAGTCCCAGCTACTCAGGGGGGGGAGGCAAGAGAATCACCAAAGCCCAAGAGCTGGAAGTTGCTGTGAGCTGTGATGTCACAGCACTCTACTGAGGGTGACAAAGTGAGACTCTATCTCAAAAACAAACAAACAAAAGTGAGACTGTCTCTAAAAAAAAAATTCATTCTACACCAGCGGTTCTCAACCTGTGGGTCATGACCAATGAAAATACATCCTGCATAACAGATATTTACATTACAATTCATAACAGTAGCAAAATTACAGTGATGAAGTAGCAATGAAAATAATTTTATGGTTGGGGATCACCACAAATGAGGAACTGTATTAAAGGATAGTGGGTGGCATTAGAAAGGTTGAGAACCACTGCAGTCTACATGGTGCCTTATGCCTGTAATCCTAGCACTCTGGGAGACTGAGGCGGGTGGACTGCCTGAGCTCAGGAGTTTGAGAGCCGCCTGAGCTAGAGCCAGACCCCATCTCTAACAATAACTGGGCACTGTGACAGGTACCTGTGGTCCCAGCTACTTGGGAGGCTAAGGCAAGAGAATCGCCTGAGCCCAGGAGTTTGAGGTTGGTATGAGGTGAGCTGTGATGGCATGGCACTGTACCGAGGATGACAAAGTGAGATTCTCTCAAATATAAAAACAGAAAGTTCACTCAAGCAGCTACAGAGAAAATTAGAGTTTGGAAGTTCTTCATGCATATAAGAAAGAGAAACTGATTAGTTGGGGGCTGGCAGCAAAGATGACATCAGACTGAATGGACTAGCTTTGGAGATGGACAAGAAAGTACAAGTAGGACAAGCCATGGCAATTAAATGGATACTGAGAGAGCTGAACAAAACAGTGGCACAGTGTATCATAAAGAAAAACAGCTGCTATGTAGGTAGTTCAGACTACTACTTGGGGCAGCTAAGTGCTCTTCAAAAAGAAGTAATGAAATGAGAAATGTCTCTAACGTAGGCCAAGTATTTAGAGCTGGTCTAAACAAAGACCAGTTTGGAATATCTAAACTGGCTGCTCAGTGAGTACTGAATTAGAGAAAATATTAATATGGTATCATAAAATGTTTAAGGCCATCAGGCAGTAACAGTCTAAGCTAGTGGTTTTCAACCTTCCTAATGCTGCAACCCTTTAATACAGTTCCTCATATTGTGGTGTTCCCCAACCATAAAATTATTTTCGGATAGAGGAGTTGTGTCTCGGTTCCTAAGACCATTGGAAATAATGTGTTTTCAGATGGTCTTAGGTGACCCATGAAAGGGTCGTTCAACCCCCAAAGGGGTCATGACCCACAGGTTGAGGACCACTGGTCTAAGCATTTAAAAAAGATTAAATTTGCCTGGTAAGAATGGCCTTCTCACAGATGCCACATACACTGAAAAATGTTTAACAGTAAACAAAAATAGCAAGTGGCACAGATAACCTACTTTTAGAAAATTTACATATTTTTGTGGGGGAAATAAATTAAAATAAACTACAAAAATATATCTTTAAAAGATACATAGCTCCAAATTTGAGGCATGTATTTCAGATGACTAATACTGAATATATTCACTGAACAAGTATTTCTATGTTCAAAATTCCTAACATCCTTGCCAGAATTATAATACATTGTTATGTATAGTCTCAATATTTAGAGTCCAAAACTTATGATACTTTCAAAAATTAAATATACATTTTGAAATGTTTATTCTCTAAAACCCACATCATATAAATTCACTCATAATTTTTAAAGACTAAGAATTCTGAGAGCTAGTGGAACAAATACAAGACAAATCACAACTACCCAAATTACCAGAAAGGTAAGAGGAGGGAGGCGCCTGTGGCTCAAAGGAGTAGGGAGCTGGCCCCATATGCCGGAGGTGGTGGGTTCAGACCCAGCCCC